CGTGTGTTTGCAAAGAGCCCAGTAAAAAGTCATCGCACCAAAGTTGCAAATGTTTGCAATGAGAGCACTGAATTACTCGTAGGGACAAAGTTTTAGCTAATTTTTTTCGAAATCCGGAGGTTCACCAGTAGGATTTTCAGCAGCGCTTACAAATGACTCATGAATATAGACTTTACGTATCTTTCAGGTCTATTTCACTCAAGCTTTCACAAAAGAAAACCCTCTGAATGGGTATATGATTATGGAATACATCGGTGACGGTACGGTGTATCACCTTCACGACAATCTTGCACCAGAGCACATGAACCAAGTTAGGCTTTGCTTTTAGTTATTACTTCAATATTACAGTTAATACTCTCAACACTTTACATATTGCAAAACATTTCTTTTCTCATATGGACTTGCCACTCCGCCGAAGAGCATCGCTGGCCTCACTACTGCCCGGTTTATCTGGCTCTTGACCATCCTCGCGGACCGTGGGTAGGAGGACACACCAGTCTTCCTGCATTCCATCCCGGCCGCGTTTGCTCCGACGTCCAAGCGTGGTAGGCCCTTGGAGTCCAACTTTCTCCCGATTCCGTATTGCCGTATACAACTGTGGTTGCGCTCTTCGGAGCTCAGGAATTCAGTTTTCTTCACGCTCGCCTGCATACCATTTTCAGCAAGCGCGTCCTACCTCCTCTGCACCTTGCTCTGGGGTTCTTCCTTGGTATCCGCTGTCTGGAGGACGTCATCAGTTCAGAGGATGCCTTTCGGTGTCTCCTTCATCGGATTCAGAGAGTACATGCCAAGGTAGACAGTTGAATGATCTTTCAACGTCCCTGAGGGCTAAGCAGCGGGGTCGCCGCTCCTCTCGATACTCTCTATCAGCTGTCTGGCGATTGATAGCGCAGGTGTGGATTTCTTGGGCACGAAGCCGAGCTGCTTTTGTGAGATGGGACAGGCTCACGTTACCCTGTTTTGACTAACCACTCATACATTCCCATGGTCACTTTTATAACATGGAAGGCTACAGAACTGGAGTACCCCTAGGCGTTTCCTAGTGTTTAGGGTGAAGGAAGATTACACATCTCCTCGCGCATCCGACTCAACGACCTCAGGTTCAGAGTTTTAACTCGGCTGAGGTTGTTCACTCTTAGGCTGCCCTGGCATGCTGCTCCCAAAAATCGAGAACAACGGCTTTCGCGTGCACGGCAGCAAAAGAGGCAAGCCATCCTACAGATGAGATATTCAAGGGAACGTAGTGAAAGAGTTTAAGGTATAGAGTAGTCACCCTGAAAACCAATTTGTATCGTAAATTTGCTCAGAATTTGTGGCAGGTTACGTCATATCTCAACCGAGTTGCAGACATAGGACCAAATCAGCCGTAGGGTCGCATTTGGAGCAGCCTTACGCCCGAAATTCGTGTTGAGTATAGGTGTGCTGTCTAAAAAAAGCTCCGTACCTTTATCCAGAATCGTAATGGTCGTCCAATAAGACATCAGCCGATACGCACGCCATATCCCGGAGATGCGGAGGGCGTGGCTAGGCACTTCATTCAAACATGGCGTAGGAATGAGTTTTCATGGGATAATTCCATTTGAGACAATTATGTCCATACATCTCTGGAATGCTGGACGAAGAAATGATCACAATTGTGGAAATAAGGCAGTGTCCCATTAAGAGTGCAGTCGGTTCTACATTCAAGCGAAGTTTGCAGCGACGCACTTCCATCCCTAGGGAACGAAATCTTCGCCTGATTTTCGAAAAATCACTTTCATCCAATGATTAGCTTCCCCTAGCTTCTGGGATGTTTCTTTGTTTATCTAGTCGCAGAATGCTCAATGAAGAAAATTTGAGGTCATGAGAGCTCTCGCAAAACTTCAAGGCAATCGGCGTGAAGTTCTCTGACGAGGAGAAAGCGCCACTTCAAATTGATCCGCTATGTCGGCACTACTTTGAGCGGACTGCCTCAATAACAGAGCTGTGAGTTCCTCCTTTTCCATTTTGTATGTGGTTCCAGTGATAATCGAGTATTTTAATGCATTTCTTAAGGCAACGGATACATCTATCGAGATGCTGCGAGCGTTTGTAGGAGAGCGACTAAAGCATCAAGTAGATCAATTGGAAGCCATTCTTCCCGAGTTGGTGGATATAAAACTAGTCGAGGAATTGCCAAAATCACTAGGTATTTGTAAGCATGCGCTTTTATTCCATATTTGTGGAGGGGGTGAACGTTGATGGCAGCCGACGCCACGTTCCTCTGCCATAGGTCCTAATCGATTAATTAAAACTTCAGTTTACTGGTAGGAACCAAAAGTAAGTAATGCAACATAGGGCTGCGTTCATACTTTGCGGCAGCGTCCACCAGCGTCTACTAGCGTCCACTAGCATCTTCGAGCGCCCGGCAGCGATTAGGAAGTATAGATACTAGCGTCTAGCCAATGTCTCCCAACGTCTGCCAGCGTCCACAAGCGTTCATAAGCACCGCGAGTAGAGAGTATAGTGGAAGTAGAAGGGTAGCAAACAGCCGTATCAGGCGTCGTGAAATTGCTGCGCTTCGTATACACGTATACACGTACACTACACCGTACATTAAAATGCATAATTTTGTGCTTTAACCGTTGTGCGGTACGCTTCACACGACGCCTAATCCAGCTGTTTGCTACCCTCCTACTTCTCCATACTCTCTATTCCCGGTCGCTGGTGAACGCTGGCAGACGCTAGATCGATACCATGTTTCCCTAGCCCTCGGGACGCTGGCAGACGCTGGCAGACGCTAGATCGATATCTATGCTTTCCTAGTCGCTGACGCTGCCGGACGCTCGGAACGCTAGTGGACGCTGGTAGACGCTGGTGGACGCTGTCTCAAAGTATGAACGCAGCCTAAATAAACACGGCTCATCAGCTCAGGCTAACATGTCTTCGAAAAAATCTGTGGTTAGGAATGCCTCTTCCACAAATTCTTACCACTATTTCGCATTGAGTAAGAGCAAACTGTGCTTCTGAAGCCAATTTTATCCCCTGGTTTATCTAGGTTCATGAGTCTCCTGCTTAGAATTTAGACCTCTTATTGCTCTGATAGATTTGAAGTATCAGTCCTACCACAAATACTTGTTTAGGAATGAAGCCGGTCTTGTGTCATGGAGATTTCTGGGCAACTAATCTCATGTGGAAAAATAGCGAAAACTCATCCTGAACTGAGAGCTGTGATCGACTTTCAGGTAGTTCCCTGATTTTGAGGATGTTTTGGACAAGTTCTCTATGTTATTCATATTCATAAACTTATTCAGAACATTCATTTCGGCTGCCCGGCCGTAGACTTCGTGCGAGTCTTTCTGTGCCTGTATGAGTGTTAGGGACCGCAGGGAAAAGTGGGAATCGCTCCTCGAAAAGTTTTACGAGTATTTAGAAGAGGACTTGGTCGATCAGGACATGCCATACACTTTGGATATGGTACGATATTCTTTGCTAATCAACTTATCGTGGACTAATGGTAATGGTTTCAGCTGAAAGCGTCTTATCGACGCTTTCTTCCCTCTTGGAGCTTTTCTTATGCTACCCATGTTCGCACCTACATTTCTAGTTGTTAACAGCAGCAATGATGTTGAATTCAAAGCAAGGGTGAGTCTCTTCAGACACAAATAAGGAGACGGATGGTGTTCCCTAGTGAACTCCATGGCTTTCAGATCATTATCATATTGTAGGTTTTCCCTTTTTGGTCATGAGATATGTGATAGGCTTTACTTTTAGGCTTCCCTGATCATGCTCGAAAAGGCTGAAGGCCTCTTGGAGGATATTTGCGAACT